GCAGGTAGACCCAGCAGCTTCTATCTGGCCCTCACTCTTCCCACCCTACTGTCCATCCCAGGAGAGTTGCCTCATCAGCAGGGCTCACATAGCTTCAGACCAGCTTGTTCAATGAAGAGGCTGGGCAGGGGACCAGAGGAGGAGACTGGGGACCGAATCCCTGGCTCCTTCACTATGGCACTGCCATCCAGCCAGGTGCATCCTTTGACCAAGGTCCCAGGTTTTCCCAAGGTGATTCCTTTTCCAGGGCAACTGCTTCCCATCTGAGCAGCTGAGCAGTCCCTCCTCTGAGCTCTGGAGCCAAGAATAGAAACAGCTCTGTTGTAGAGTGCTGGAACACTGCCCCACCCCCACCCCCACACTGTGCTTACTTTCCTTGACTATGACTTCCCACAAATTAGCCTAATTTGAGTATGCCATTTCCTTTGACGGAACCCCGATAACTCCTCTATGCATCTGTAAATATCTAAATATTCCTTCTTGGATACTTTATTTCAACTCACAATCAATGTGACTATTAACAAAATCATCGCTTCTCAAGACAGTCTTTCCTTCCACAAATCTCTACGGGGTGTCACTGTCTCTTATTATCACAGGGTGAGGACAGTTTTCATGAGCATGCCCCTCCCCTGTCTCCAGGTTAGACTGACTGACATGGGAAGATGCTTATGTACCCCTCTGTTCCTACGGCCATTACGTGAATATTTCCTAAGTCACGGTTCACGTCACAAAGCCAGTCTAACTGCCCTCTTGTCCCCACCACTGCTATTTAGATTGCATTTGTTTATTTACGGATTCTACTTGAGATTGAACATAAGCCTTGCATACTGGGTAAGCACTTTCTAGAACCCATCCTCTACCCAGAGATGCCCGGTTCACAGCAGTGCCTCCTCCAGAAAAGCCTCGAAGTCCTGTGCCTGTTTTATCTGCTTAATTCTAACTCTTGACATTCAATAACATTTATTTCCTATCTATATGTCTAATGTGAACATTAAGAACTATACTGTCGAACCTCTGTAGAGAATCCACTAAACTCCTGGCTCTCATCACACCCGTCAGCAGGCCCCGTGCTGGGGAAGTGCTCGGCCCGTGAGTTATTTCAGGCCTCCAGAGACAAGCTCAGCCTCCACAGCTTACTGCTGCTCTGAAAGGTGCTCTGGGATTACTAACCTGAAGCATCCTCACAGCAACTTCTTAGTGCGTTACATGAATGCACCTCTTGAAAGTTTTACAGAACCTAGTGTTTCCCACAACATTTAAGAGGATGTTAGTTCACCCCTAAGCTCTGAGAGGAAAATGTAGACTTCTAGAAGAAAGATAAGCAAAATAGACTGACGATAGCTACTGTCAAACTGAGAATCCTTGTCACTTCACAGCGAGGGTCGTGTTTCTGGCATGGATGTGTGTGGGTATAGAGAACTAAAAGAAGAAAAACTTCAATGTGACCTCCAGAGCTTATAGAACAAGTTAAACTATTATTTTAGGCTGATAAAACAGTATAAGCCAGGTGTAGTAGCGCACACCTTAATCATAACACTCGGGAGGCAGAAGCAGGCAGATCTCTGACTTCAAGGCCAAGTGGTCTACATACCAAATTCCAGGACAGCCAAGGCTACACAGAGAGACCGTCTCAAGAAAACAAAAAGCCTCTCTCTTACACACACACACACACACACACACACACACACACACACACACACACACACACCATAGTTTAAAGGAAGTCTAGGAAATATTTCCTAAACTTCTACAAGGAAATCCTATTGTATATATATATTTTTTTAATTTCATGTGTTCGTGATGTGTATGTGCATGCGTTAACATGCCAGGATGCACATCTGGAAGTCAGAGGACAACTGTGTGGAGCCAGTTCTTTCCTGCCAAAGCAACAGAGGTCCTGTTGCCAGGTCGCCAGGCTTGCAAGGAAGCCCCAATAACCACTGAGCCTTCTCAACAGCCCTTACTCAACAGTCTTCATTCCCTCAATGCACCAAAGAAAAACTGAGACCTTGTATTCCTTTCCGCTTCTTCTCAGTTTCCTTCTAAACCTCTTTTTAAACAAGTTTAGAATTTCAGTTACAAACTTTTAACATCACAAGGAATGACCTTCCCATTCTAACCCATTACAGAATGGAAACACAGACCCAGCTAAGCATTGGCAACCCTTACTCGCCTGTACATTCTAAATATCAGTAGGAAATCCACTTAAAGTGTGTGACTCGATAAAAAAAACAAAATTAAGCTCAGATTTGCTCACATAACTATTTGAAGGAGTGTGGTGGGTGCATAAAACAAAAGCTAGCCTACGGCTATCAATTATTCTTGTAAAGTCATTAAATTCATGGCCAAGAATGGAACTAAACATGTAAAGTCCAGAGGTACTTTTTACCATTTTAGAATAATGTAAGTGATTTGTCTAACTACTGCTTAAGAAAAATCAGTCTGAAGAATAGTATTGAGAGTAGGTATGGTAGAGCATGTGGGTCATCCCAGCTCTCAGGAGGCAGAAGCAAGAAGGCAGTACCAAGTTCAAGGCCTGCCAAGGGTCTCAGAGAGACTCTCAAAATAAAATAGTATTAAATATTAAAAAAAAACCACTTGTCAAAAACAATTACAATATCGGATTACAATGGTATAACGGAATCATGACAATACAAAAGTAACTGGCTTTTCTCCGCATGGGTCATAGTAGGCCCAGGCTGGCCTCAAACCCACAGCCTCCGGAGGCTCAGGCTCTGGAGTAGTCCAGTTATACCTCTGTGCCACACCCAGCTCCAGTCCTCCTTTTTAATATCACAATCCACATCTCTGTCCTGTGAATGGAATCACTCTCGATTCCTTAACTGGGTTACATTCATTTCTTATTCCAATTGTTCTACATGAGTTAATTGAAATTAGTGAATTTCTCATCAATTAGACAACACCATTCGTCAACCTGCTCTGGTATTCTAATACACTATACACCCTAAAGTATCTACTTATGCAAATCCCGCACTGCTGTTTTCATTTAAGTTTTCAACTTGATGCCAAAACCAATCATTTTTGGTTGTTTTTTGTTTTGTTCCATTTTGTTGTTTTTTCTTTTGAGACAGGATCTCTCTCTGTAGCCCTGGATGGCCTGCAATTTGATATGTAGACCAGGCTGGCCTCAAACTCAAAGATCCGCCTGCCTCGGACCCCCAAGTGCTGGGATTAAAGGTGTGCACCACCATGCCTACCCCCAAAACCATCTAGAAATTTCAAACAAGTTCTCCTTCTGTGCTTTCAGCTTAAGCGATCATGATTTTTAGTGGACAGCTGCTGTTTTATCTGGCTGTAGTGGCATAATCACTACAATATCTACTGCCAACTGTCATTGTATTTAGTACTTTTACTTCTTTAACCTCAAGAGGAAAACTCAGGTCTAGAGAGATGGCGGTGTGCTGCCTCCTCTTCCAGAAGACTCAGGGAAGTCCCAACACTCACATAGCAGCTCACAACTATCTGTAACGTGGGCATCCATCAGACCCAAGGCATCCAATGCCCTCCTCTGGCCCCTGTGGGCACCAAGCGCACATGTGTAGCACAAACATACATTCAGGCAAAGCACCCCTACATATACAATTAAATAATAATAACTTTTTTTAAAAAAAATGAAAGCCATCCCTGAACTTCGGCCTTCAGCCTAGAAAACTCACATGAAGGAGCAGAGCTCCCGACTAGAAGAAGGCACTACTCCAGACCACGGTCATGAAGTCGGACAAAGCAAGGCGCTCTTCACCTGAGCTCTGCTGGCACATCATCTTGTTTGGAAAAGCAAGGCAGCTTCTAATCTCTAACTCAATAAAGAGATGAAACTGAAGAACCAAGTGAGTCTGGAAGCTAGCAACACTTAGAAGACGTCACTGGGCCTCACAGAACCGAAAGACACCAAACCCCCAAAAACACAGTTGGCAGAGTCTGCAAAATGTGTTTAAGATATTTCCAGCCGCTGAGATGGCTCAGTATGTAAAAGTGCCAACGACCAACTGAGTTCACCCCCGCCCCGCCCCGAGACCCACACGGTGGAAGGAGAGAGCTGATTCCCACGAGTTGTCCTCTGACCTGCACACACACACAAACACACACACAAAAGAAAGAAATCTCACTAGGATTGCAAACCAATAATAAGATTTTTTAAATATTAACAAATTATAATAAAATTTTTATTACTATGGAAGTCACTAAAATGATATAGGGATAATATTTCTTCATAGTCATAGCAAAAAAAAAAAAAAAGATTTCTCTAAGAATTGCACACACTAATCCCCAAATCCACATAGAGCTGACAGAATACAAACTGATGGAGACACCAGGATGTCAAAGACAGAAAAGAAGAGGAATCTGACAGGCAAAGATGCTTCAGATTGAAGAGGAAAATGATACTGCTCCAGCAATGCTGATTCCAAGGAGGGCTCAATCTGGTACAGAGGGGGAATGCTTTTTTTTTTTAATTAGAAAATATCATTTTTGTGTACTAACTTGCTAACTTCTATAAGTGAATAATAACTAATGAGTATTTGTAGTCCCAGAAAAAATAATAAAACAACTTTTATGACGGCCATATACCAAAGAACTATAATGTAAGGAGTCTATTATATTTATATAAACTCTCTTAAACAAAGATTTGATACCAGTTTCCAACCTATGATAAACAACATTTTAAAATAGGTTCTTCAGTATGAGTGCCCAGCAATAGTGACCCTGAAGCTTACAAAGTGAGTTCTGGGCTGGAGAAATGGCTCGGCAGTTAAGAGCACCGGATGCTCATCCAGAGGACCTGGGTTGGGTTCCCAGCACCCACTTGAGGGCTCACAACCACCTGTATCTCTGGTTCCAGAGGATCCATCACCCTCTTCTGGCCGCCGTGGGCATTACACACACACAGTGCAGCTATATTTGCAGGTAAAACACCTTTACACATAAAATAATTTTTTAAAATAAGAGTTGTAGGCAAAATAAACCACTTTTGCGATGTCTACCTGTTTCCGAATTCTCGGTCTCAACTTCTTGTTCTTCCGCCACATCCTGCATCATGTAAGTCTCATCGTCATACACCAGAACCTGGGCAGCGTAGCCCTGCTCTAATCCAGCACTGGGGACTGGCTCCACAATCACTGCTGGATACTCAGGGACCTTGTCACCTCCCTACAAAAGCAAATTTAAAGAACAATCAAGCTTTTCGCTGGAAAATTCTAGATTTCGTTCTGAATCGCTGGGTTCACAAAATCCCCTTCAGTCCAAACAGTGCCTTCCTTTCATGTGTTCTATATGAATGTAGACAGCAAGGGAACGGAAGGGCTGGCTGTGGTCATCTTCAAGTCTTCAGAGAAAGAGGACGGAATCGGGGCTCGTGCATTAAAAACGTGTGAAAGCTCACTAAACACAGGTAAGAGACTGTCCTATGTTTTATGCTAAGGAAGACACTGCTCCAAACCAGAGACAAGACAGCACACCCTGAGAAGAACAGGGATCAGATGGGTTCGCAGACCTAAGAGAGCCAAATGACAGCCTAACAGCAAATATGCAAGAGTCCAAGAACAGCACACCGCACAGTGGGAGGCCACAGGCAGCACCAGACACTTCTGACAAGGAAGAGTTCAAACAAAAGAGCATCCTCAGATGCCGGAAAAGGCACCGTGAGTCAATCAAAGTCAGATGAGAAGTTTTTCTTTTGTTTTATTATAGTGCCAGGATCAAACTCACAGCCTTGGGCCATTAAAAAACCGAATGCATGCTTGGCAGTGGTGGTGCACGCCTTTAAACTCAGCACTTGAGAGGCAAAAGCAGGCTGATCTCTGTGAGTTCAAGGCCAGCCTGGGCTACAGAGAGAGTTCCAAGACAGCCAGAGCGGTTACACAGAGAAGCCCTGTCTCAAAAACCAAAACGTTAACTTAAGGAAGAGGTACAGGAAGATGTGAGATACAAGACAGAGAAGACAATCTCCAGGATGTCAGCTGTGCTCGGACTTAAAAGTCAGCTGGTCAGGTTTGCATCAATGTGTGTGATTAATCTTAACAGTCAACTTGACTGGACTGGGAGACACGTAAAAGACTATTAGTAAAGCCTGGAGAGATGGCTCAGAGGTTAGGAGCACTGACTGCTCTTTCAGAGGTCTTGAGTTCAATTCCCAGCAACCACATGGTGGCTCACAACCATCTGTAAGAGGAATCTGATGCCCTCTTCTGGTGTAAAGGTGTACACGCAGCTAGAGCACTCACATAAAATAAGAAATCTTTTTTTAAAATTTTGTAAATAAATAAATAAAAGACTATTAATAAAGCTCATCCCTACTGTGTCTGTGAGGGTGTTTCCAGAAACAGTTTGATCATGAGGGCTCTGGCACAGTCTTTTATATATATATATAAATTAGTTCTTTTTTTTTTTTTATAATTTATTTAACTTTATTTTATGTGCATTGGTGTGAAGGTGTCAGATCCCCTGGAATTGGAGTTGCAGACAGTTGTGATCTGCCACGTGGGTGCTAGGAATTGAACCCGGGTCCTCAGAAAGAGCAGCCAGTGCTCTTAACCTCTGAGCCTTCTCTGCGGCCACTCTCTGGCACATTCTTAACCCTTTGGTGGATTCACACTTTGAACAGACTACAGAACTGGAGGCTGGGCCTAGCAGAGGGAGAGTGTCACTGGAGGCACCTTAGTCCTGGCTCCTGTCTGAAACTCCTCTGCTTCCTGGCCCCCAAGAGACAAACAGCTCTGCTCTGTCATACCTTGCCACCCCACAGGATGCTGCTGTCAATGACTGGAAAGGTGAACTATGTAAAATGTAAGCATCTCCTGAGACAGGATGAGCTGTTAGCACCAGTACAAACAGTGACGTTCTTCCTGAACACAACACCAGGGAACGCCTGTTCCAGACTGCTACCCACATTTGCCTCGCCTTCACAAAGTACTCATCAACTTTTCTGGGCTGAGAAAACCACCACGATCCCACGCACAGAAACAGGCAGACAGAACCCGCTGACTGACCATGTGTCTACAGCACAGGCAACAGCAGGTCCATGCTGAAGCACTTCCCCAAGAACTCAGGATGACCCCACGACCTGAGCAGCTCTATAAACCACCCAGCCACTTCTCCCAGAAGCCCTGTGGTGACGTAACTCAGCCTGAAACTGAGTCACATTTTACAAGATAAATAATACGCTGCTGAAGAGTATTTTCATAAATGATAAACTGTTAAAGAAAGGTATAAAAATAACGTATGTGAGGATGCAGCTCTGTTTTTTGAGACAGGGTTTCTCTGTGTGGCTCTGGCTGTCTCAAAGTCAAAGATCCGCCTGCCTCTGCCTCCCAAGTGCTGGGATTAAAGACGTGCACCACGACCGCCTGGCTTACTAATTATTCTTAAAATATGTATGTACTTTATATGCACTTCATTGTCTATAAAACATTTCACCAAAAATTTAATTTGCAAAATACACTGTAAAATAATTTTTTTTGCTAACTATTTCTCTATTTCAGAGAAGACAAAGAAGAGTCCAGCTTTTTAACATCAAAGTGTGGAGGGCAGACAGAGAAAACTGCCGCGGCACCACTGGGCAAACTAACAGCTGTATCTTCCGCACTGGAAGCTGTTCAACCACAGCAGCACCCACTGTAAAGCCGCTGCTCCAGAGACGCACGCCAAGTGAAGGCCGAGTCCATCCCCAGCACGGAGGAGCACTGCTAAGCAGCACTGAGCCCAGGCTGACCCACGCTCTGGTTATTTATACCGTGAGGTATAAATTACTTCCTTCCTCTACATTTTCACAATTTTTTTTTCATTCAGGGAACAGTCTCAGTATGTTGCTCAGGCTGGTCTCAAACTCCTGGACTCAGGCAATCCTCCTTCAAGTAGTACTTGCCATGGTCTCAACCATACTGTATTTTAGAAGCAAATTTAGCACCAGATGGCTTTATACTGAAGGATTCCCATCAACCCATCCCAGAGAAGAGTTCATACTTGTCATAGTATAAAAACACTCATTCAAGGACTAGAATTCTACATAATGTAAAATCCCTCTATGAACACTCTCTTCCCACCAGTCAGGATCGAGTCTTACCAAGATTAGTGAATAGTACCTTGGACACAGTGGCATGCACCTTTAATCCCAGCACTTGGGAGTTCTAGGCTAGCCTGGTCTACAGTGAGTTCCAGGACAACTAGGGCTATTACACAGAGAAAC